AGAACTCCCGACCCATCCAACCCTCCCCCTGTCCCCTGACTGCTCCGATCACTCTCCACACCCCTGCCCCTTGACAGCCCCCCCCAGAACTCCCAACCCATCCAACCCTCTCCCCACCCCCTGACAGCCCCTCGGGACTCCCCTTACCACCATGCCACTCAAGCCGCTGGCTCCACGTGGAGCCAAACCAAACAGGCTGCCAAGCGCAGAGCCCCTCCCCCGCAGAATGCTGGTGACACGGCGCTGAGGCAGCGGGAGGAACTCTGGCTGCTGGAGGCCAATGGAAGCGGCTCAATCTGGCCCAGGCACCCAATCAGCCGCATTGCACTCTGCATGAGGGGGAGGAGGAGGGGGAAATCCCAGATCTTTCTACCAATTCCTCTAGGATGGCTATTTTAAAGACAAAAAGGACATATCCGGGGAAATATGGAGGGAGCTTTTTGGCGCCCCCAATCACTTGGTGCCCTAGGCGACCGCCTAGTGGTTGCACTGGCCCTGTACATGAGTAATTTTACAAGCTAACTCAGTATCAAAATTACCAATCCAAAAGTCAGGCAGGGAGGAGGGTAAGTAAGCATGAACTGGGATACTAACTTATGGAGGCCTTTCTACAAGTAGTTTATTTTCAGGTCAGATGTAGTAGTTCTCAATTACTTGCACCAGCCTTTTTGGATTCAAAACGCATGTTTCCCTCTATAGGTCAGATTAATACTTGCGACCTCTCTGCATTCTCAAATTAACACACACAACACCCACTATTGCCACTATTAAGGACCTAGGTGGTGGAGGAGAGACTATCAACCTGAGTAACCCCATTATTCATAGTGCTGGAACTAGGGGTGCTGGGGAGCTGCAGCACCCCCTGGCTTGAAGTGATTCCTATCATATACAGGGGTTGCAGTTTGGTTCAATGGCTCTCAGCACTCCCATTATACAAATTGTTCCAGCACCCATGCCTTTATATGAGGGACAGATGCAGGGGGAAAGAATAGTCAGTATGGGAGATTTGAAATCATTTCTAATGCCTCTCTGCATAGGAGAAGTACAACTTTATCATACAGTGATCACAACAGCAGCCTTGGGGGCATAACAATATGTAAGAGGCGGTTACTCACCCTGTGCAGTAACTGACATTCTTAGAGATGAGTGTCTGTGTGGGTGCTCCACTTCAGGTATTGGTGCATCCCTGCACCTTCGCTCGGAGATTTTTGTAGCAGTACTCGTACCGGCCACGCTTGTGCATAGCCTGCGCCCCGCTCTGAGTCTACCTTAATAGTATGCATGCACAGCCGGTCTCCTCAGTTCCTTCTCTACAACGGAGGCTACCCCAACTCCAAAGTAGAGGGGAGGAGGGTGGGTAGTGGAGCACCCACGGGGACACATCTCGAAGAACGTCAGTTACTGCACAGGGTGAGTAACCGCCTCTTCTTCTTCGAAAAATGTCCCTGTGGGTGCTCCACTACAGGTGACTTAAAAGCAGTAGGTCTCAAGGAGGTAGGGACTTCGGATCTGATAGGAATGCAGTAGCTAATACAGCCCTGCCCAATCGTGTATCAGAGAGAGGGCCCTGAGAAAGGGCATAGTGTTTAACAAATGAGTGTTCAGAGGACCAAGTGGCCACTTTACAGATGTCAGCTAGGGGAACTTTGTGTAAGAAAGTCACTGAGGCAGCCAGAGATCTAGTGAAGTGAGTTCTGATGCCAGCTGGCAGTGTAACTTTCTTTATCTGATAACACAATCGGATGCACTCAGAAATCCAGTTTGAAAGTCTCTGGGTAGAAATAGGTGTTCCTTTGGAATGGTCCGCGATGGAGACAAAAAGTCTAGAAGAGTTTCTAAAAGGTTTGGTTCTATCCAAATAGAAGGACAAGGCCCTGTGTACATCTAACGTATGTATTGTGGCTTCGAAAGAGTTCGCATGTGGTTTTGGAAAGAAGATCGGTAGGTGTATCGGCTCATTAATGTGGAATGGGGAATGCACCTTTGGAAGGAATTTGGGATGTAATCTAAGGGTAACCTTGTCCTTGAAAAATATCATATATGGTGGATCTGCCATAAAAGCTGCTATTTCTCCTGCCCATCTGGCGGAGGTAATTGCCACTAAAAATGCTGTTTTCATTGAAAGGTGTAAAAGGGGGCAAGTGGCTAGGGCCTCAAATGGTTGTTGAGTTAGGCAGGATAGTACTAAATGAAGGTCCCACAGAGGGATAGGCTGCTTAATGTCTGGGTATAGGGCTTGGAGTCCCTTGAGGAAACACTTGGTGATTGGATGAGCAAAAACAGAGGTGTCGTCGATTCTGTCATGGAAGGTTGTAATAGCAGCTAAATGGACTCTGATGGAGCTGAAAAATGCTGTTGCTCGGGGACCTCCTCCAAGTTAATTCTCAATTCACTGGCAACTTTTTAAAAGGTCTTGAAATTTCGAGAAGTCATCCGAAGATGTTGGGGGAGGGGGGGAAAAATAAGGCTTCTTCAGGCGTTACCTCTGGCTCTACTAGAATAGGATCAGGACGTGATTGATCCTGCAAGTGTGACAGTGCTGCCTGGTGTCTTGTGTCAGTGGCAGGTTCATGAGGTGGTGGTGCTAGGCAGGTGTTGCGCCTGGTTGAGGTGGAGTAGCGCATGTGTTCAAGGATACGATGCCCATGGGGCCCAATATTGCCATGGTGGTGGGAAGGGCATCGGTGGTGCCATCCAGGGATTCACACACACCAGGGGGCAGAATCCTGAGACTAGGATAAGGTAATTTTTTTATGACCTCTGTTGACTGGGGTCTGAGGATGGGAGTCTTGATACAGTGAAAAATCCCCCTGCAGTCCGGCTTCCTCCTCACGAGAGAAAGGCTGTTCAGACCCTGATTCAGCCATTGGAGAGAAGCAGGCATTCAGCAGGGGTGACTGCAGGACAGGTGACACAAGCAGATCTCTTGACTGAGTAAATTGCAGCGCTGAGGCACCTGTGTGAGGTGAAGGCTGTGCAGGAGGAAGCTGCTGTGAGGAGAAATTCCTCTGCACTGGGGTTTTGAGCCTGGGCTCACTGCCAGTCAGCTCAGCAGGTGTCGGTGCCAGAAGATCAATATCAGCCTGCAGGGGGTCAGGCAGGTCGTGATTGTCGGCACCGCGTCCGTCACGGTGCCGAATGGTGCCAGAAGAGAGGCAGGCAACTGGAAGCCTCAGCACCGGAGTTTTGCGCCGCCGCCACAGGTGGGTTTCACACGGTGCTGGAGGAGCACAGGGAGGGAAGTGGTAGATCTGCCCAGAGAAATCTTGTCTCACCGGGTTTCCTTTGTGGATGACAAGAGGTGCCCTCTTTTTGAAGTTTTCTTGTTCTTCTTTGAGGTGGGGGGCCTGTGGCAGTCAGCGGAGCAGGAAGCAGCGCCTGGGTCTGAAGCTGCGCCTAGGGATTTCTGAAGGAGGAGCAGTTTCAATCTAAGCTCCTTGTCCTTCCGTGCCCTGGAGCTAAGTTTACTGCAGTGGGCACATCTTTGGGGGATGTGGGTCTCCCCAAAACATTTTATACGTTGTGAGTGGCCATCTGACAGGGGGATAGGCTCCTTGCAGGTAGAGCAGCGCTTAAAGCCTGTGGAGCCAGGCATGTCAGAAGCGGCTGCGGTTGACAGGAACGAAGAATTTTTTTTTTAAGAAACAGATAGAAATGGTATCTACCTATGACTAACTAACTAACTAGAAGGGTAATTGTAACAAGAGGAAAGAAGTTCTTAACGAGTCTGCTGAGCTCCATCTCAGGCCGGTAGAGAAAGACCGGCTGCGCATGCGTACTATTAAGGTAAACTCAGAGCGGGGGGCAGGATATGCGCATGCGTGGCCGGTACGAGTACTGCTACAAAAAAAAAAAAATCTGAGCGAAGGTGCAGGGACGCACCAACACCTGGAGTGGAGCACCCACAGGGACATCTCTCGAAGAAGGACCATCTCTAACTTTTGGGTATCAGTAAGTAGAACAATTAAACCTGTATGCAAGTGTGATTACAGGTACTAAGTGACTAGATCAGAGGTGGACAAACTATGGCCTGTGGGCCACATCCAGCCCCTGGGACCCTCCTGCTTGGCCCCTGAGCTGCTGGCCCACGAGGCTAGCACCCAGCCCCTCCCCAGCTGTTTCCCCTTCCCCGCAGCCTCTGCTCGCCCCACCGCCAGCGCAATGCTCTGGGTGGCAGGCCTGCAAGCTCCTGGGGCAGCGCCACTGCAGAGCCTGGCCTGACCTGGTGCTCTGTGCTGTGTGGCTGTAGCACCGCCAGCCACCAGTGCTCCAGGCAGCACGGTTAGTGGGGCAGGGAGCGGGGGGGGGAGGGGTTGGTTAGAGGGCAGGGGAGTTCAGGGGTGTGGATTGGGATCAGGGCGGTTGGATGGGGCAAAGGTCCAGTGGGGCAGTCAGGGACAGAGGTTCCAGGGGCAGTCAGGGGATCGGGGGGGGTGGAAGGGGCAGGGGTCCTGGGGGGGCCATCAGGGAACAGGGGGGGTTGGATGGGGCAGGAGTCCTGGGGGCGAGCAGTCAGGGGGCAAGAAGCAGGGGGGCTAGGCCATGTCCCCCTCCCCTAACCGGCCCTCCATACAATTTCCAAAACCCGATGCGGCCCTCAGGCCAAAAAAAAAAAAAAAAAAAAAAAAAAAAA